CTTTCCACACATAGGCAGACACAGAGAGACACATGTGTAAACGCGGGGCGCTGGCCCAACCAGCGGGACAATCGGGATCGAGACAGGAGGCGAACCGCGCGTTCGACTGTCCGTCCGTCCAACCACTCGGTTCGTCGAAGTATCGTGCTCGATACTTTTCTCACGATTAGAGTATGCTTTCCATGTCTTCGGTTGAAGGGTTTTCCAATGGAGATGGTTATTGACGTCGCGATGCGAATCCTCTTTTTCAAGGGTGGATTTCATGTGTTGCAATACGAATACTCGATGTTTAGTGTTTATTAGAAATTGTATTTATTTTTGGGGAATACAATGGTTTTTCAAGATGTTACGAAGTATTTGAGTCTTGGAGATTTTATGTTTCGGAGGGTTGAAGAGTAGTTGCTGTTTCACCCTTTGCGGACGAAGATTCTTTGAAATGTACGAAGGCAAATGAAGTTAGATATATCGGTTGCTTAATTAATAGGAAAACAGGAAGCTACGTACAGATCTGTTTGAGTAATTCAATCATTCAGTTGCAACTCAGATTTCCAAGTAACATTTCAAAAATATTTCATTCGTCCGCAGAGGGTTAATTCCTTTGCTCGTAAGCGTAGAATGCCACGAATTTCATTTTGGCGATCCCACCGAATTCCAATTGAGACGTGGATCAATTAACGAAGTGGAATAGAGTTACTGGAATTTTTTCATGTGTCCATTATAAACCCTTCAATCGTTGTTCGATTTTTTTCTTTCCGCCGGACATCGGTACGAGTCGAGGGAAAAGTGCGTGGTCGTAAACGCGGTGTTCGTCTGTTTGCGAAATCAATCTATGCAGAATATTTTCCACGGCGTTTAGCGACGTGTATTTATCGCCGTTAAAAATATCAGGAACGCAAAACGCAATTTCCAAATGTTTCTTCTGTAATCCGAATTATTTTGGCATCGAATCTATTGTTTCGCGCTGTCTCTTTCGAAAATTTCATTTCACAATCCACCGAACGATGTCTGAAGTACTTCTAATTCGACTAACATTAGTACCTCGGTTAATTAAAAGATTAGAATCTATTTTTCAATCGCTGAAGCAGGCCTTACAACAAACTAACTTCCCTCTTCACTGCAAGCGTATTGTAAAACTCTTTCTCGTACATAGCACTAAATTAGAAACGATATCGTTTATTGACCTGATCATGTGACCAATTAATACACTCAATATTCAATCATTAACCGAAGTTAATTAACGAACTTAATCAACATACCACCTACGAAAGATTTAACAGGATCGCCATCGTAAGAATACATCAAAATCAAATCAACAGGTTTTCAAAGTTTTCAATTGATTAAATTACCTACATATTAATTCCAATTAAATCATCTCTGACCTCAACAACTAACTTCTCATTTATAAAACTTCGACATGCAACACTGTCAAACAATCGCAAAGCAGGCCAAAACCCGTCGCTTCGACTGGTAATTCTCGTGAACCGTGGAAACATTTGGAACGCTCCTCGCAACGGTTCCCTGTCCGACGAACGTTGACGTCCGACGGAATCATTGAACAATCGGACGCCAACTTCGGTCACCGAGGAGCCGCGTGACAGCCGGCGAGTCATCAGCATCGCAACGGTTAAAATTACCGAGGCCCGTCAGTTCCGTGGAGAATTTTGCCAGGAATTGTCCCGGAAGTTCGGTTTTCTAATTCTGCGCTTGTCGGAAGAGCGGCAACTGCCAAATGCCGAGCCGCCGCACCCGCGAAACGCGTTGCGCCATGCACTTTTTCCGGGGGCGAGAAAATAGAATTCGACGAGAACGAAACAAGGCGAGAGAGATCGGTCGGGTCAGGAGGATCCTCGGATTCCCGCGACGTTTCAACCCTCGGCACGCACTCGGGGGCGGAAGATCGGCCGGCAGGGAGGAAATCGGAGATGCGTTCGCCGCGGACGATTGACGATCTCGTTCGCTTCGAGAGAAACCGTGGAATCGCTGGATCGAGCGACATCGTGGAAACCGGAAACTACCCCTTGGTTCACTTACTTTATTCCTTTGAATGTTCGGTAACTTCACGAACGTTTAGTTTTCTCGGAAGTAACGCGGGGAATGTCTACCAGCAAATATTAGACTCCGATATATCGAATTTCGGAAGGTTTAACCTTTGCACTCGCCATTTGATTTAACCCAACGAAATGATAAAATTGAAAATTTAATAATTAAATTTTCTATAATCCACCAACATATGGAACATCGAAATAAAATCCGTCAATTTATGCAAGGTATTTCTTTATATTGTAAAAAATACCATTGATAGTTCATCGGAAAATAAGGAACTCGAGTGCAGAGGGTTAACCTTTGATTCTAGAAATTCCAAGGAAACTCGAGTGTTCCTTCGGTTGAAGAAGATTCCACGAATTTTGAGGTACAAGATCGATTGCAGGTGAAGTTCCGAATGTAGTTCTCGGTTTCCAGTTGTCGATCGATTTCGAGAAGCGAGAGCACCAGTGGAACGCAGAGGCGGCGCGGTGACGCGTTGATAAACCGTTTTCATCCGCGACGAGAGGCCTCGCAGCGGAGTCGAGCGTTATTGAGCGGACTCACTCATCGCCAACTTCATTTCCTCTAGTCTAGAGTTCTGCCTGGGACGAGTGTCCAGCTTTCGCTTGATCGGAACGCGTGGATCGTGTCCCTTATCGTGCATCAAGCTCGTTCAGCGTAACATTTCATTCACAAGCACGCGTCCAGCGGTGTAGTCCGGCTTCGCTTCCCTCCCTTTCCACGTCCGCTCGCACGCCGGGGAATCCCGAGCGGATCGCCGCGGAAACCGAAGCTCACCGCATTCAATTTGGAAAGTGGAATCCGATCGGACATCTGTACGCTGGAATGTTTCACTCTCGCGGATTGGGTTCAGCGCTACAGAACGATGATAACTTGTCAACGTTTTACGCGAGTCTGACAAATGAATATAGACTCGAGGAAACTCGTTTCTCTTATCGAGAACTCTGCGACGTTCGAGTAGCTTCTTTAACTTCCTGCGGTATTATTTCATTTCCTGTTTTTGTCGCTTTAAATCCACGGATCTACTAGTTTTTACTTCTACAAGTGAACTGGTCACGACGCGAAGTCGATGCAAGATTCAGTTGTGTCCGAGATTTGTGATGTACGAAAGAGTATTTGTGATATTTATATTTAACGCTTATTAACAATCAATGTTCGAAAATATTACGTCTTGGCCAGCTGTTACGTATTTCGTCACACTGAATGCAGATTAACCGAAACTAACATGTAAATTGATACTTTCGGAGACTTGTTTGAAAGCTGGAATTCCGGAGAAGTGAAAAATATTACTGGACACTATTTGAAACTAGATCCACAATTGATCGGTGTCGAGAATAACAATCGCGAGCCATGATTTTTACCGACTTTGAAACATTTCGACGTGTATAGGAGTTGCAAAAAGCTATTAAATACAAACGGAATACAAAGTACGCTACATTGGGAAGAGAGAAATCGATTCGCAAGCCCGACTACACCGCTTCGCAAGCTTTAAAGCGCTCTCATCGTTCTAGATCGTCAATGAACCTACGTTCGAACACAACTTCGACCCTCTGTTTTCCCTCTGTCCGCCTCCCTCTCGCGACGTGCATGCACCGCGAGAAAGACAAGCTGGCTAGTATCACGAATGAGACGTAGAAGACATCCTAGCGCAATACGGTTTGTGTCACGCATTTCGCGGGAGTGATTTTACAAAGAAACTGTCGAAGCACCTGTTGAAACATTGAAACGCGGGAATTAGAGATCCAACGAACTTGGAAGTATTCTCCCTTTATAATCGCGTTCGGTGAACTTGCAACGAGTCCTCCCCATTGTAGGGTACTTACTCTCTTGAGTTCACCGTGTCGATGAAACAAAATAATTAGCAGCGTTGATTATACAGTGAGAATATCCACACAGTACTAGAAATCAACAAGTTTCGATGGCGAGTCGACAACCGTAGAAAATCGAGTCCCGGAATCGTGACACAAAAACGTTTAACGCTATTTCCACCGAAACTGTCAAGACACCTCAAATTTCGAACTGAAATTCATTTTCCGAGTTTAGTCGTGTGTCCTGAACTGACTCGTTCGACAAATCTAAAATGTACAGACGTCGAGAATTCAATTAACACGTTGACGCCGGCGTGACCCACCGGTGGGTCACACGTGCTTTTTTAAACGGAGTCTTAAAAAGCGCCGGCGTGAACGTGTTAAACGATCGAACCGAGAAAATCGCTTGAAGTTTTCCCATTGAAGAGGCGTCTATCGACAGGTTCGGTGTAAACAGCGTTGCAGTTGGGTCTTCTCGTCCCATGCTGGACGAGTCCGTCGCTCTCTTCCTTTAACGTACCGCAGTCTCGTCGAGCCGTCGGCGTGCGTCGTCCGCAGGAGACGCTGGGATTTACCGAGCACGCCATACTGTGTCAGGGAAATCAATCTCCCACTGCAGAAAACACTATACTCATGCGATCCACTATGATCCACGCGCGCTCTCAGACTTCTAGCAATATATATATATATTTATATTATATATTATATATATATTATACCCCCTTCTAACGAGAGCCAGTCACAGGACAGCGCGACTGACCACGTCGGTTTTGCAGATACAAGTGCGAGAAAAATGATGTACCGATTACCGTCACGAACGGCTCGACGTTGCCGCTCGTGGAACGACCGAACGACGAGGAGGCGGCGCTCTACAACCCGTTCGAGCACAGGAAGCTCGCCCATCCGACCTCCGACCTCGACACCCTGATCCATCTGCTGAAGGGCAGCCTGGGGACCGGCATCCTCGCGATGCCGATGGCCTTCCGCAACGCCGGCCTACTCTTCGGCCTGTTCGCGACCTTCTTCATCGGAGCGGTGTGCACTTATTGCGTGCACATACTGGTCAAGTGCGCCCATGACCTCTGCAGGCGGACGCAAACGCCCAGCCTCGGCTTCGCGGACGTGGCCGAGGCCGCCTTTCTCGTTGGTCCCGAACCTGTGCAGAAGTACGCTCGTCTAGCCAAGTGAGTATTTCCCAACCGATCCGCGTCCTCAGCGGCGTCGCCGATCGAAACGCTCCAGATCTTGTTCCTTTCGACGAGTCGGCTACGCTTTTCGCCTTTCCGAGTGTAGACGGTTCGCCCTTTTGCGCGTCAAAAGAGTTAAATTAGTTTAGAAATCTTCGTTACGAATTCACTCGCGTCGGATCTAAGTGTAACGGTTTCCGAGATACTGAATCTATATTATTAAGTAAAAGATAAACTAAAGAGTGTTCGTTGAATATTCGTTTTTCAGAGCGACGATCAATATGTTCCTCGTGATCGACCTGATGGGCTGCTGCTGCGTCTACATAGTGTTCATCTCGACGAACGTGAAAGAGGTGGCCGATTATTACACGGACACCGACCGGGACATCAGGCTGTACATGGCGGCCCTGTTGCCCCTGTTGATCATATTCTCCCTAGTGAGAAACTTGAAATACCTGGCGCCGTTCTCCATGGTCGCGAACATCCTGATCGCGACCGGGATGGGGATCACGTTCTACTACATTTTCAGCGATCTGCCCAGCATCGCCGACGTGCCAAATTTTTCGAGCTGGTCTCAGTTACCTCTGTTCTTCGGCACGGCCATCTTCGCCCTCGAGGGCATCGGCGTTGTAAGTGTACACGCGCGTTTAAGCCCTGATCTCCGAGTCGCTCGGACAGTTCACCCTTTGCACTCGGAATTCGCTAGAGATATTCAACATTTTTCTATAAGTTGGATACGTCACTGCTTGAAACAAACTGAACGAGAAGATAAGTTAACCCTTTTAGTGCCGGATGACGATATATCGTTGCGCATCCAATAGCGCCTTACTATTCGCATTGCGGGAAACTCTATCTGAAAATAAATTTATAAGACGTTATAAATGGTTTAATTTCAGTGCAAGAGAACGTTGCATTTTGAATTATGTAAATATCATTTTCAGTTTGGTTTTTCGCCCGGCACTAAAAGGGTTAAGGGACGAAGTTACTATTATTTCACATATTTATAGATCACGCGAAGCTTCGTATTCTGTTTAAGACAATTTCGGGATATCGAATCAAAGGGTGACCGAGTCACCTCTAGAGTGCAAAGGGTTGACGCTAGAACTACCGAGCAATTAGAGTGATTTATTTCCAGATTTTTAGAATTAGAATAATAAGTCTCTTGAGATTCGAAGAGCTGCTAGGTTTGTATCTGTACAATGCACAAATTTTATTGAAGATCGCGAAAACGCCTTCGTGATTTAAATACTTGCAAAATAAACATTCTCAGTGTTAAATATTCTCTGGTTTCTCGAAATTTTCATGGAACAGATAATAGTCTGTTTAGTTATCCGAGGATTTACTCGTTCCTTCTTTCTTCTTATAGCTACCGAGTACGTTGTATAATCATTTTAGAAACTGAAGCATGAATTTTCTGAATGTTTCTCCGCTGGACTGAACCGCGATGGTTTCCGAGCGACTCGTATCGCTCTCGCAATGCAAAGCGGTCCGCATCGTTTGTATTCCGATCGATAACCGATCGGTCGCAGACCTAGCGGTCGAATCGCGTTTAGTATTTCGATCATGCGATAAGGCATTACCAGAGAAACAACCACTAGATATCCAATCGGAAATTCCAACGCGCGAAGCTACGTCGAACAGGGCTCGGACGATGGGATCGCTGAAAAATGAAATATCTAAACAGAACACAGACTGTTCAGTACTCTTTGCATAACGTTCACTCTTCCCGTTTCTAATTGTGAAAGGAAATTTCTGCTAGATCCGCAAGTACAAAGAAAACCGATAAAATCCATTGAAACGTGTCGCGTCGAAGTTCGTCACTTACTACGTGAGTACGTAACGTCCGTAATTTATTCGGAAATGTAGATTACTTTGGTCGACGTGCAACGTGTGCGGCGATATTTTAAATATCCTCTATCGCTGCAACCGCGATAACCACGCACGAAACTTCACCGTCGCTGGCGCGGACTAATACATTCGCGACAAGAGATAAAACGCTGCGATTACGGCGAAACCTTTTGTTATATAAATCGCAACGTGATTTCCAGTGGCTGTCGCGAAGCGTCAAACTAACACTGTAACTGAATTAAATACTTAAATTCTTCTGTTGCAATTACTCGAAAGAAACAGATGCAAACTATCCCAAATCTGCAATCTCAGTTCCAATGTTGGAGGTTCTACAGAAAACTGATAAAATCTCCTCGGTAGTTCAGCGTTCAAATTCATCGAAATCGAAATGTCTATCGTGACCTCATGAAACCCCAAACTATGACTAAGTATATCATCGTTCACTGATGAACCGTTTCCAGGTGATGCCGCTGGAGAACAACATGAAAACCCCGACCCACTTCATCGGCTGCCCGGGCGTGCTGAACACCGGCATGTTCTTCGTGGTGCTGTTGTACAGCACCGTCGGTTTCTTCGGGTACTGGCGGTACGGCGAGAACACGATGGCGTCGATCACGCTGAACCCGGACGAGAGCGAGGTGCTCGCGCAGTCCGCGAAGCTGATGATCGCGGTGGCGATCTTCCTGACGTACGGTCTGCAGTTCTACGTGCCGATGGAGATCATCTGGAAGAACCTGAAGCAGTACTTCGGCTCTCGGAAGCTGCTCGCGGAGTACGTGGTGCGCATCTTCTTCGTGATATTCACGGTGGCCGTGGCGATCGCCATCCCGAACCTCGGCCCGTTCATCTCGCTGGTGGGCGCGGTGTGCCTGTCCACGTTGGGCCTGATGTTCCCGTCGGTGATCGAGTTGGTGACCGTGTGGGAAAGGGAGAACGGCCTGGGCCCTTGCTACTGGAGGCTCTGGAAGAACATAGCCATCATCTCGTTCGGTGTGCTCGGCTTCCTGACCGGCAGCTACGTGAGCATCCAGGAGATCCTCGAGAAGAAATGAAGCGCCGGGTTCGAAGGAGCTGCGGTGCGACGGAATAATCGCTCAGTGCGTACCATAGATGCCGGCGTGCTCGACACCTTCCGTGCTCACCGGGAGCAGCCTCGTCGCGCGGCCAGGACGACGATACCCGGGACGGTGATGCCGCCCGCCCGCCGCCGCTGAAGCGTCCAGGACACGAGTTACGCGGCCACGCGAGCTCCGAGCTTCTAGCTTCGTCTCGCTGCTTCTCTTTCCGCAACTCGGTAGTACGACGACCGTACCGACGACGAAGACGTCGCGTAGAACGACCGCCTTTCACCCTATCGTAGCACACTATCGGTTCCTCGTTGTAACCCTGTCCGCCCAGTCTTATTCTTTCGTTCGACCGTAGACGGAGCTCGCCGTCGCGCGGAAAGGAGTTCCTGTATCGGATAGTTCGCACACCTGTTTTCTCGTCGCGGACGGTCACGATACGTGATACGTTCTCATTTTTTCTACTGTACAATAGCGTTTTTTATTTTTCCCAGGCGCCAGTTATTTTTGTAAGGAACGCGCCTGGTTTTCTCGTCGAGAGTTTCTTTTACTTTGACCTAATCGTACGTGCTCCGAATACTTAAACCCTGTTTCTTATCGTTCAGTGTGGCATACAGAATGTAGAGTAATATCAGTGTAGCGAGATTTCAGAGAAGATACTAACTTTCCATTAATCAGTTGATCGTTCTTAACATTCTCGTTAACCGCGTTGCAGACGATTTATTCGGTTAGTCTGCGATAGAAGCCGAAATTGTTCATTTCCCTGCGATTTATATGATGTATATGTATATATATGTACACGAGCTCCTTTCCGCGCACGCGTGAAACAAAAATCCGACAGCACCGCTTAGTTTCCTCTCTCCGGAAAACTCGCGTACTCGGGATCTGCAATCGCAATAGCATACGATACGCGGAGGTATACGTTACGAAGCATGATCGATCTTCGCCGATTTGCGTCAGAGTCGTCGCTGCTGACGTCGCGCCGTACAACGCCGTACGCCACGTGTAAGTAGGCACGCTGAGAATCATTAATGTCGCACCGGTTTTTCACCGGCTTCCCGAGATCGTCGCTCGTATTTGTAACGGGAAGTAGATTCCTTCGAACGCGACGCGACAGGACAACGTCGGATTACCAATTAATATAATATCAGTGTAACGTGCCGCAATTGGAAATCGTTCGGATCACTCGGGACATGACATTCTGCTGGTTATTTTTATATACTCGACTATAGAAATTACAATAGCTCTGCTGCAGACGAACGTTCATTGAAAACTCTTGTATAAAATTGTACCTTAATCGGCAGAGCACGCTATGCAATCCGACAGAAACGTTTGGAAAATAATTGACGTTTCCCATATGGAAGAAACGCGTAATTTTAAGTGACCGACGGTCAACGCGTTGACTGCTGCGATCTGACTTGGCTACACTGAGTTTCTTTTCAATATTTTATTCTTATCGCTATTCTTTAACACTAGGTTTACGGACAATTATTGTACACTTGATTCTATTATTCCTAAGAGAATTGATGCTCGTTTATTTAGATTGCGGAAACTGGAGATTCGATAGTAGGTAATTGGGATACATTTCTAAAATCCAATATGCGTCGATCTGACGCGTTCCGTGAACCTAGTGTTGACGCATTGACATTTCTCTTCGTATCGACTTGCCACCAGCAAATCAGCTCATTCAATGTCCCTTCTCATAAAAACACCACAGTCAACGCGTTGAACAGTAACTCGAATAACACCTAATGTTACGTGCGTCGACCATGAAACGTGGAAACAGCGATCGATAACAGAAATGTAACTTTTCGGATCAGACAATTCAGACGTTCCAGATAAAGAGCAGTGCGACCTTAATGAGCCTCGGCGCGCGTGATCATACGTTCGAGCGATTAACCGAGCAAAGTCAACGGCACAACGTGGCTCGGAGTACCCGGATCCATGGGATCGTGGATCGTGCGAAATGTTGAGACGAGTATCAGGGGCGTAGATAATAGCTGCCGCCCCGGCCCCATCTCCCCTTTGTCCTCCTCACTTTTATTATTTATTCGCGGTGCGACGGCCGTGCGCACGAACGACAAACGCTTTTTCCATCGAGTTCACAGACAACTGCGGGACGGTTTCTTTTTTTTTCTCTCTCTCGTTTTCTAGTTGCTTTACGTACACGCGGTACGATTTATAGATATGTAAATTATACTTAAGCGTCGTTTTTACCCCACGAGCAGGGACCGTTCGCGTTTTCGGCTTTAACGTGCGTTCGTTCGTTCGTTCGTTCGATTTCCTGCGACAAGAGAACGATTTGTAAGATAAGAGGTTTCGTCGGCCGATCATCGAGCGATCTACGTCCGCCGATCGTCGGGAGTTGGACACCTTGCATGTTCAGAAATGGGAAATAGAACCCGGAGATCGACCATAGACTTGTAAATGAATTTCTAACTCGTCGGATCGACGACACTTTTCAGTTGGCACGTACTTCCGCCATAGATATCGAAGGATCGTCAGAAGTGATTAAACGGTTGACATAGACGTCGGTATCAAACTCGAGGTAAATTCTAGATTGGAAACGATTCGAAATTAATCGCTGTTTTACACGATAATCGTGTCTATTCTTTCATTAAGGTCTTCGCTTGATTCGGACACAAAGGGGAAGTTGCCTATGAGCGATTTAATATTCAGTCAATTCGACGTCTTGGGTGTCTGAATTGGAAGACACAAATGGCATTCGACAAAAGCCTTTTATTCACTTGCAAGCACCTACAACAGGTTCAGGACATTATCTCGTTACCATCATTCGACAGAAGTTACGGTGTTTAGAATCGACAAACGCAATTTTCCTGAAACAGTTATGTTACTCTTTGACTGTTCTACAATGGTCATCCGCGAGCACTCGTTGACTCGAACAGAATCCATCGAATATGCTGTAACATTCTTCGCTATAACATTTATTCTGTAAATAGAACTATGTTACAGGCATGCTTTGTCTCGTTGCTCTACTTAAATATTCTATCTCTTTAGAAATTGAAGAAAAACACTTCCACTAAAAGATTATTATTCAAGACTTAGACAACTAGTTCATTTTACAGTGATATATTTTTCCATTGAAACGTGTACATTGTTCATGATCGCTTACCGAACTCCTAACAAATTGAAAAAAAACACTTCCACTAAATTATTATTCGACAAAGACTTAGAGACTAGTTGTTTCACATTGAAATATTTTTCCATCGAAACGTGTACATTGTTCATGATCGCTTACCGAACTGGTATCTGCAAGGCATGCCTGTGCGCAACATTCACGCTGTATAATGGCTGCGTAGAAAGGATACTACGACGCGTAGACGGCTAACGTATAAAATTAAGGAAACCGTAGATTTCAGTGAAACTGTCTGTACACAGAGTATCCCCCGTAATTCGGTAGATTCTAGTAGCGGCCGTTTCGTCAGTGATGTGCCCGCGACGGGACTACGGAGCGCTTGAAAATGGCGGCGATAGATCAATCGACGTAACACCGATGGGAACTGCCGATCTGTTCCTAGTGCCTTCGTTGCACAAAAGAAAAAAACGTACAAAAATGGTTATTAATTAAGAATAAGAGGCAGAATGGCACGTAGGTGTGATAATATCGTGATGCATGCTTGCTAGTCTGTAAGGAGTTAGAGCGAGAGCTACACGGCGCGAGGTTGCGTCAGTGCGCGAGATTGAAACGCTAATTGGATACCTTTCTCGCTTGACACGCGGTCAGTAAAATCGAAAGAGTACGAATAAGAGGAAGAAATTTTTGTGAAACGAACAGAAGAGCTTGATCGGGTGTCAAGGCGAACGTGCTCAGCAATGGAAATTATTTATTTCGCGTCCTAGAATCGGTTAGATGAACGGACATCATCGACGATTATTGCTCATCGACAATAAGAGGAAAAGCGAATGAAACGATGGAATTGATCTCGGCACCGGGCGATTCGGGCAGCGAAAATCTTCGCGAACGGAAATTCTAAGATCACGAAATAGTACAAACGTAATTAAGATTCGTCATTCATTTTACCTATTGGATAATTGTATAGAGCTTATACAGGGAGTTTCATAACGAGACGCGAAAACAACGAACAGCTGGTGCAAACATGTGTCCCGTGAATTGTCTGTTATACGTAACGAGTGTTCAGCCAGTTTCGGCTCGATTCGAAAACTGCAATTTCGTAGACTATAATAGATTTTGTAAGGGTCATTGTCGTTGACACTGCCATGGCCCTCGAGGAAACCGACGCGTTCACCGGACTCTGGGCATTTTCAGACCCACACTTTTGCATCCGAATGTTTATACTCTGAAGAGATTCACTTTTCCAATGTTCATTCTTCTGGGAAAATAATGTTGAAATCGTAACAAATGCATTGCAATGGCCATGTTAGTGCTGAAGATAATTGGAATCGTTTGAATCGTTTAACCCTTAGCACTCCAGATGGTTTCGTAATTTATCAGCAACTAATTTTTATGGTATCTAGTGAAAATGAAAAATGCTGTAACATTCCTTCGATCTTTTGTTCCTTCTCAGTACGAAATTTCTTGTGGAAAATCGAATAATCTTGGGGTAGTTTCTTTGATTCGTTGAAATATTTGATATTATGATGCAATATTGGAGCCTACGGAGTTCAAAGGGTTAACTTCAATCGTCCACGTTTGGCGTTTCTGTTCGAAGGGCACATGTTTGACGACTCGACGTATTTCGGCGCAGAACACCGCGCCGCGAGCTGTTCGTGCGATTCGTTCTCGAAGACAGAATTCAGTGCCTTGGTTCTTTCGTCTGACGGGATCGTAGGATTGACCCTTTCAGTGCCAGGCATTTTACGGAGCACAAGGAACGTTTACAAGGAACAAAATTCCGATTTGGAGGAAAATTTGACTATTTATTCTTCTGAAACTTAACCCTCTGTAGGTTTCGTTCTAATCGTGAAAATTCGGCCCATAGAGGGTTAAAGAATATGGAATATAATGTTATGCAACAAAATTTTTGGTTATAAAATATTTGTAGAGACGCCCTTCGAACGAGGCTGAGAAAAAAAGAGAAAGATCGGCTCGCTGGCACTGAAAGGGTAAAAACGGACCTCACGCGACACCGAGCAGACACCGTACGCGCGGCTCCGACGCGGATCGGAGCCGTACTCTCGTCACGAAAGCGTCGAACAACGGGACATGTTCGTCCGAAAGACAATAACCGATGCACGGTAGTTGCCATGTTCGTTTTACTAGAGTCGTTGCAAACGTACGCCTTAACCGAGGAGAGGGCAGAACACGAAGAAGAATCAGGGGAATCGGAGGAACAAGGAAACGGAAAAATGAGTCTGCCCTCGAGCCGCAGAGAACCGTTGAAATTTTTGCCAAGCATCATCCATGTTTTACCATTTTTCTGTACTCGTCTATTCTTTTCTATCGAAAGTTTTCCCATCAATGTATCTGTACACACGCAGAGACAGACCGCCCACAACCATGATCGTTACACGTACGATGATCTGTATTCAGAAAAAAGAGGATCTTCAAACTTTTCTCACCCTTCTTTTTTTTCTCTTTTTTGTTTCCTTTGGAAATTGTAATCGAAACATGAAATACTTACATGTACACGTACATACATACACGTGCGACACACACATACAACCGTTTAGCCGCTTTTGTACTTCAAATTTCCTTTACAGATCGCGCACGCAGGCAATGCGGCGATGGTCGCTGCGAAGAGAATGTCGTTTCGCGTGCACGCGTGTACCGTGCACGCTATCAATCTGTCAGACATTGTAAGAGACAGTGTTATATGATATTTAATACACAACAAACAGATTTGCGAAAGATTGCTGTATTCATTTCACGTTCGAATTCCTTTACCCTGCATCCCACTGATTTTTATGGTCAACATGATATTTGATCTGTAACGTTGATTGCATTAACCCTTAGCACTCCAGATGATTTTGTAATCTATCAGCAACTGCAACTAATTTTTATAGTATCCCTAGCGAAAGTGAAAAACGCTAGAACATTTCTTAGATCTTTGATTTTCCTTAGTGAAAAATTTGGATGTGTGAGAAATCTAATAATTGTAGGGTAGTTTCTGTAAGATTAATAATGATCACTTGTCTGGATCACGAATCCGAAAACAAAATTGTTCTATCGCGTTCAATGCTGCAGAAATTTCATTTGATTCATTTGATAATATTATATTTTTTTCCGTTTTGCTATTCAAATAATTAAATAATTCGTTTGCAACTTATTATTCCAGATGTGACAACTTCAAAAAATACATTGTACGTACTTAAGTCTCTAATATTTTTGATTCTAATTCCTATCGCTTAGAGATAAGCTGAGCTAATGTTGAAATATTTTATCGACCAACTTCCATGGCGGCTTGTTTCTTTACAAAAAGAATATCACGGATATTAACAAAAGAATTTGAAATGTATAATTAAATGTTTCTACTAACAAACAGAAATTGACTTTATCTACAGTAGCTACAAACCAGCCTCAGTCGATACGACAGGGCGTGACACGAAAATGATAAGAGATGCTAGAACCCTCGAGAATGTGTGACAAAATTTTACGATACATGTTATTATCCTATACCTCGTCTATTCTACTAATAATTAGCTAGAATTTCTTCTAGTGTTTTACAAAAGTGTAGATAATGCAGATTCTGCTGAAACGAAGATTAATACAATTGTTAGTCTATAATGTGATTTGTCTATGCTCCTTATGTGGCAACCACAAGCTGCTGAAATAATTGTTGAAAGGTCAATGAAACAGTGAAAATATAATATAGGGATATAGGTGAAATATTAATAATTGTTAAATAGCATTGTCTTTTTGAAATAACATAGAAAATATTGATTTACATGAAACGTGTTACATGGAAATGTGGTTTAAGATTTGCATTGTGAAGTGACATTAGCAAAATGGTCGAGACGATAGCGAGTACCGATAATGTCAAGTGATAGAAGTTAATAGATACATGAATTATCAAACTTAATAAAAGTTTGAATAGTCTTTTTAAAATATACTTTCCATGCTCTGAATATCGTGACTTTTAAAGTCTCTGCAAACTAACCATGTTAAACGATGTACCAAAAAGAACACTGAAAAGCTCGGAATCAACAGAGGTATGTTTACAATGTTAGTTTTATAGTTTTACGAACCTATGAAGCGTATTTAAGGATTACTAAAGTAAAATATTGTTTTAAGAATATTCATAAATATTAGTGTTTTTTTTAATATGTCGGTGACAAAACATGTGACGTGCAGCTTAATTATTATATGTCACTGCATTCCAGATTTCGTCGTTCCGATTTTCTATTTCTCCTTTCATTTTTTACTATTGTTTATATGTACTTAAATTTTGTTTCATCTTTAGTAATGAAAGGTAGCTTTTTAATTTAAATTTACTTACCATTGGAGTAATGCTATTCTACAAACTCAAAAGTTACAAATTTACACTTCTTGTCAATTAGATTCCTTGAACTCAGGAACATATGTTGACCAGTGGCGGGAAATTTAAATGTGTGTCATAAAATATTTTCAGGCTGATGTCCGGGAAGATGAGGAACAAGCAAAAAAGTTTCAGGATATAATCGACTTACTTTTAGCAGCAGGATATTTTCGAGCTAGAATTAAAGGTTTATCAAATTTTGACAAGGTACATATACCAAAAACTTTAGGATCAAATACTTTAACAAATCTAGATCTTAAACGTATTGGAATAATAGAAAATATATTAAACTAATGTAATTTTTTAGGTAATTGGCGGGATGACCTGGTGTATAGAATCCTGCAACTTTGATGTGGATATCGACTTATTATTTCGCGAGAATCTAACTATAGGTCAAAAAATGTAAGATGTGAGAAATTATTGAAATATTTATTAATTGATATAAAATGTCATTATACATGTATATACATACTTTTAGTTCTTTAACTGAAAAAATTGTAGCAATGCTACCCAAAATGAATTGTCCATACCGAATAGAACCACATCAGATTCAAGGTTTAGACTGTATTCATATCTTTCCTGTCATTCAGGTAAGTATCATTTAATTACATATGACAGATGTTTATTTATGATGATTGTAATGACAGTAAAACTTATAGTGGTTGGTCAAACGTTCCATGGAAACCAGAGAAGAAATGGCTGATTTTGTTCGATCCTTTGCACTCAATCAGTTTCATAAGAAACATTCGTTCACTGAAGATACTGGCAATGCAACCGCTATTCAGGAAAATCTGATACGAAATATCCAGCTGGTTAAAGTAAGATTATTATACAATATCAAATGTACTTTTTGTGAAACACATTTAATGACAAATTGTTACTGTGATCAGTTAGGTGATCTTAAAATTTGGACTAATTAAAATTTTACAATTGTTTCTTAGAAATCATATGAACCACGACGTCTTTTCAAACATAAAGATGGTTCTGTCAGAGATGATTCTACCCGGTTTCTTGGCACAGTTTTAGAATATGAAGCTCCTCTGTATTATTCTACAAAAATTTCTGGATCGCCAACTACAACAGTCGCGGATGATACTAAAGATGCTGATAGGAAAAACGAATTAAAAGAAAAAGTGAGAAAGTATTTATGAATTAGATTTTGATACAACTTTTTGTTTCATTTTTAAACTTTAATGAACATATAAATATCAACAAGTCATTTACATTAAATTAATTATAAATTAATCAATATGCATGCACAATAAATATAGGATACACCACAAGTAAGTTCCCTTAAATTTTTTGTTAATAACTTATATATTTCTGTTTCAAGAATTAAAGAATTAGTAGTAATTTTTAATATTCTATTAAATCTGTAGTATAATATTACACACGAATAAACATTGCAATTTTTTCATAGGAAAACACAGAGCAAATAGCGGGAAATCTAGCTGCTATTGAGGAAAGTTCGGTAAGTAATTACATGTACACATAGTCGATATCAATTGGATATTTATTAACCATATTTTATATAGGCTCGATTAAGTGTCACGGCAGTTGGCAATATTGTTGGAATTCAAGCTCAAGAAATTGCTAAAATTGCTGAAAAATATGCGACAATGTCAACTTCTGAAATCAAGGTAACTTTCTCTTTAAGAAACGGATCATCAGTTTAAATTCATAAGTTTGTATTCATTTATGTCTTTTCTTATATCTGTCCAGGATAATAATGCTACAAGTTCTTCAGCAGCACTTATTGCACTACAGAAACAGAGAGCAGTACTTCAAAATCGTGTACGAAAATTAACAAAAGATAGGGACAGTTTATCTACTAAAGTTTCCGAATTAACTGATAAAATAAATGAGTCGCGTACGAAACGACAAGCTATTGAGCGTTCACTAAAAAAAGCAGAAGAAATGGGGATTAATGAAAATGATAGGTAGTTTATTTATTAATTTATTGGCAATACAGTACATTACTAAAAATTATATATATATATATATTGATGATTTTATATACGTTTTTCAGTGTTTACAAACATTTGGAAGAATTACTCTTAGTACACGATGGTTTGAAGGAACAAGAGCATAATTTTCGTGAACAGTGCAAATCAGATTTGAATGTGTTGCGTGGTAAATTACAAGAAATTGAGAGTAGTACCTCTGAAGAAGAGGAAGATCGTTTGAAAGAATATGAGGAACAAAAGGAGGCAGTAACAAAAGCAAGGTTACAGTTGGCTAAGAAGAATAGAGCAATTGCATCTTTGACCAGGCAATTGGATGATGTACCTGGCCGCTCTGAGCTTACGCAATATCAAAGACGCTTTATGGAGCTATATAATCAAGGTTTGCAATCTATGTAATTTTTCTGATTGACAATCTATTGTTCTTTTCAAGTGTGTCTTCACTATTAAAATTTTAGTTTCAGCAAAGCACAAGGAAACAAAGCAGTATTACACGCTATACAATACCCTTGATGACACAAAATTGTATTTAAGTAAAGAATTATCGTTGTTAAATTCTATCCAAGATAATTATAATGAGTAAGTAGTTCGTACACGTCATATACGTCTTCTTTATTTTTAATAATACTTGATATTTCTTTTCCTTGTATTTATCAGAGCAATGGCGTCAGCAAGTGGCAAGGAACAATTTTTGAAGCAATTTGAAGCGATTGTTGCTGGCGTGAAACGCAATAAATCAAAGGTACTGAATTTTATACATTTTAAACTACTCGCAGTTTAGCAAAGTAGGTTCACAGACAAAACACTGTCTAAATTAGATTATGACCTCCATAAATTTTTGCCATTTGGTATCTAAAAGATTATTAAGTTCATTATAAAGCAGTGGATAATATTTCATGATGGTCTACACTGGTTTGAGTTAGCTAGCAAATTCTATATTTTGACATAAGAATTCTTATGAGAAGATTATATTTTCTAGGTGGAAAAAAGATGTGCCGATGAGAAGTATAGAAGGGATGCGCTTAGCCGACAGCTCGCTTCTTTGATAGAACAACAACGCAAATACGTTGCTGCGGTTAGGCAACTTACTATTGAATGTCGCAAAAATGAGGCCTTACTCGCACAGTTGCGGGGTCCGTAAATAACTGTTCATTCTGCTACCTCAAACATATCAAGTATTTACTCATATTTTTGCTATAACCGTTTATATAGTCGAGAAACCTCGGTAATATGTTACTAATAATTAGCCGGCGGGCGTTAAAGGAGTCGTTATTTTCAACTACGACGGGGTCGTAGGAAACTGTATTTTTAATAGACCTTTTGTAATATTTATGTTGTTATTTGTCTGCGAAATAAACTGATAAATGAGTAATGCTCGTCAGTAAGAAGTATTTATAACAGGATTAAATTCTGACAGTAATGTTTATTACTAATTAGAGTTGCAAATATACCCCAGCAGGCTTTCCAACCTTTGCAGAGTTAAAAACAATGAACTATGAAAGATATTTAGACAGGTAAAGGATATGAAATTATTAAAAACAATGAATGGTTGTTCTTTTCTATACGTTAAACACATGTTTTAAGTTATTGTTAATTTCATAAATAGAATATATTTTGGTATAGTAAAATCATAAGGTAACGGTTAAAAAAAAGCATATTTTTACACGTCCCGTCGGCTACTGATTATGCGGTAAAACGAAATTTTATACACTCTTAATATTGATCTTTATTGTCTCAAAAATCTGATACATAAAATTAGCAAATATTAAAAATACCTAGTTATTCAAGGTCAATAAAAAAGATAATGTTTTTATGAAATAATGTGTACATACGTATATATTTTTATATTATATATATTTGTGTATGTGTGTGTCATGTGTATTGACCTTGTAATTTATCACTTAAATCAAGATGCTTCAATGGTACAATAAGACATTAAAAATAATGAATTACATAACTGTTGAATGGAACTGACCAATCATTGGCACATTGTTACTGTTGCGTAAAGATATCTTTAAAATAATTCTACCTAAAAACTATTTATAAAATAAAGCTCTTTTAAAAAAATCACAGGATAGATGAAGTATATTTATGTGAACTTATGACCTTGAGTAGCCAAGGTGGCAATTCAATCGCCAACTGTAATTATTATTCAGGAATCTGACAGAGGAATAGAGGAAAGTCTAAAATATTTATGTACAATGTAACTACTGCTGTTATACACTGTATGTATAACATCAACGTGTCATAAAAATTCATTTGCAGGTACAACTGAATTTCTCATGCATGCAGTGAATGAGTAAATGATGCTAAAATGGGTTTTTTCCTTTTCTTAATTGAAAGTGTCAAAATATTAAAGAAACCAATTAAATATCAAAAAAAAATCCATGGTCGTAACAAAATGATAGTTTATGTACAATGCCTTATGGGTATATTTAAATTGACCTAAAATGTATATCTTCTGAATAACCTTTTTATTTGTAAAACACTAATATTTTCACATGTAAGAATGCCCAGAGTTGTTCGCTAATCCTCCAAATGATCATTTTCTCGAAATTTTCCTATTTAAAAAGAAAATTCGTATTGACTGCTGACCTCTAGATTTATTGAACTCATATTAATTAATTGATTGTTTGAAAGGTATTCACGCCAAACATTCCTATTTTTCAGATTCGTATTCACGAGGATAATTTGGAACAGAATTCCAAAGTACAGTTCAAAAGTATTGTTCCTGATTTCATTATTGAAATACACGTTATACACATAAGAATGTTCGTATAAATGCTTTGACAAGTATATGTTTTTACCTCCCCTCGTTTTCTTTGCGTTCAACGAATGTTTGCATATGAATTTTGACAGTTCGGAAGATAAAAGAAAGTGATTACTGAAATTCGTAAGGCTAATGGATGCCAAAAAATGGTACCGCGCAACAATTGCAACCGTGATTTAAAATAGTCAACGGTAAAGTCACATGACGTTTTTGTTCGGCGTAGAGTAGAGATCAGCTCATGCAATACATATACATATACACACCTTGGGATTGCAGTTTTAGCCCGATAATAGATTACTACTTACCGTTCGTCTGTTTTCCCTTTCACGCTTAGCGAGCAGTGTTTTCCTCGTTACTCCGTCAGAGCCCTCTTCGTTCGTTACTTTATGTGAACTATCGCCATTGTTCCCCTCACAGTGTTTAATGTGTTCACGTGTTTTATTCGTTTCCCCGAGGATCTGTCGTAGCCATTATCAGTGGTACAGTGTTTAGTGATTTGTTTTGTTAACATTTTCTAGAATGTAGCCAGCCTCCAATGTGACGTTTTCTAAAAATACCTAATATGACAATTGCATCGGGTGGAGGAACCATTCAAGCAAACTTGTTCCTTTCAAAGTAAAGGAACATGTGCTATCTGCACGGTGGCTTTTGATGTGATATTCATATGAGAGAAATATTGGGCGTACGATGGCAAAAGACGAAGGAGACGACCTCTTGCCGGACAAGGACGCGGCGAAAGGATTTTACGCGAAATACGAGCCCAAAGAAATCCTTGGAAGGTTCGTCACGTGATATTTGAAAAAAGAAAATAACAACATAGCAAACTATTTTTATTTGTACAATCAGCACGCGTAGCATGATAGATATGTTTGTATTTATATTATTAGACTCTGGTGCATTGCAATTACAATGAACGTATCAAGAGATTCACCGCATCAAACGAATAAGCTAACCTGTACAATTATATAATTCGATCGAGTTAATATCCATAAGATTCAACAATAACAAATTCATTTCGAACCGAATAAAACAAAGAAAACAATGCGAAATAATAACATGAGTCATAAAGGCAGGATAAAACTAGACAGACGATGTATGAAAATTTTCTTCGTATTGGAGAACTTTTTATGGTCTGAATATTATCAGAAGTGATATTATTTAGTAATAAATACAAAATATGGTAAAGATACATTTTGGAAATGTTAATACCATTAATTAGTAAAATTAATCATCGCTTTAGTTACATTCAAATATTCATTTGGTCATCCTAAAATTAGTACCAGATTTAACAAGATTTATGTGACGATAGAATTTTGTTTAATTAATTTAGATTCTTGGTAACAGAACTTTTGTCTCTTAGTTTATTCTTAATGTCCACAGAGGAATATCTTCCACTGTTAGAAGATGTATAGAAAAAGAAACAGGTGTAGAATATGCAGCTAAAATAATAGATATTAGTAATGAAACTAACGAGGATGGAAATACTATGAAAGATGCTACACTGCAAGAAGTGCATATTCTTCGTAGAGTAGCTGGACATCCTTATATAAGTAAGTTCCCACTTATTAATGGAAAAACACTTATTTATTACATTGTAGTAGAAAAATAATAATATTTTTGCAATTATTACCTTGAATTAATAACTGTTATGTCGTTTCAGTTGAATTGCATGATGTGTTTGAATCAAACACATTCATTTTTTTAATTTTTGAAATTTGTAAAAATGGTGAATTGTTCGACTACCTCACATCTGTGGTTACACTCTCTGAGAAAAAGACACGCTATATCATGAGACAGGTATTCGAAGGTGTACAACACATACATAATCAAGGAATAGTACACAGAGATTTGAAACCAGAGAATATATTACTAGATGATAACCTAAATGTAAAAATAACGGATTTTGGTTTTGCCAGAGTATTGAAAGGAACAGATAAGTTATTTGGTTTGTAATTATTTCTCAATAATGTAATGTATTTGTGGCATTAATAAGAAAGTTCTTCTTTTATTATTATTGTTCTTTTTTAGATCTTTGTGGTACACCTGGATATTTGGCACCAGAAGTGTTAAAGTGTAATATGTTTGAAAATGCAGAGGGTTATGGACACGAAGTAGATGTGTAAGTTTATATGATTTAGTAAATATATGTATGTATTATACATTTATTTTGATGCAAAATTAAATTAGTACAATATAAGATTAATTTAGTATTTATATAGATAATTACTATTTATTTCTTCTTAGATGGGCTTGTGGAGTAATTATGTTTACTTTATTAGTTGGTTGCCCACCTTTTTGGCATAGAAAACAAATGGTTATGCTTAGAAATATTATGGAAGGAAAATACTCATTTACATCTCCAGAATGGGCAGATATAACAGGTAATTCCTAATGTTTATTAAGTTAAAAGGATTGCAATGAAAGTTGATTACAGAATGTGGAATTACTGTGCATGATTATACGCCAAAATATTATAGAAATTTATTGAAAGTACTGCAATTACATTATGCTAAAAATTGACATAACCATTTAAAATAATTAATAGTGCATCATATTAAACTTTACTATTTCTTATAAGGAAGATATACTTAAGATGAAGCATTTATCAATAAATAGAACACGCTACACGCTTTTGTTTCAATATAATAATATAATTTCTTTGCGGTTTCGTTATTTTATCATTTTTTCTATTTTGATTTATAGTAAACTATATAAAACGTTGTATAACGTCAAGATTTTAATTATGTTTTCAGAAGCTCCTAAAGATCTGATAAGGAAATTACTAGTGGTCGAACCTAAAAAGAGGATTTCTATCAAGGAAGCGTTGGACCATTCCTTTTTCCATACTGTAGTAAGGATCTTGCTCTATATTTACATAATGACAGGAACAAAAATTCTGGACAGGAAATTATACATTTATTATTTTATACTTCTTTGAAAACCATAGTATAATCATAATTTTACATCTTTCTTTGTATGCTTTATGTGTTTTACATTATAAATTCACAATGAAACATGTATGCTTCAACAAATTTTCGTATCTCAGTGTTCACGTGTCTTTCTAGACAATATAGAAAAATTCATTAATTAAATAGAAATTTTCTACTCCAACAAAATCAGATAACTTAATATCAATATAAATAGAAAATTATTGGAATTACAGCTATGGGATCAAGACATCGCGCCTCTAAAACGTTCGCTATCATCTAATTCTCGCCGTCTGAGTAGGATATCTCAGTTAGCTTTGGTAAATTATTTTTGTTTTTATTTTGTTTGCCGTTAAATGAGAGTTTACTAAACGTAACTTTCGCATAATTAATATAACAATGAACGGTTTGAATTTAATTAATATTAAAAATTACTTACAAATGAATATGATATATGTGTTTAGTTTGTCTTTGTTTCTAATTTATAAGTTTGATCTAAAATCTTCTGATGTTATTCAACCATTTGTATAGAAACTTTAAAAACAAAACGAATCAATTACCTGTTAACGATGACAATCATTGTACATAATTCATGTAACATAAACAGTAATGTATAAAACATATACATAATTCTGCCTTCAAATAGGAATACACAAATGAGGATGAACATTAATTAATAATAGTATGATAGCTGTTGTTATTGTACGATAAATCACAATAACAAAACCATTTAAAATCTTACGTGTATGTATTCGCCAGCTTTACTCTCTATTTTCTCTGCCTGCTTTGCACAGAATGATTACAGAAAATTGTGACTAACAAACATCATTAAGTTCATAACTTCAATGATTTCAAATCACTTAACACATTACTTTGAAAGTTTGTCATCAGTGTTTACTTTATTTTGAATTTTATTACTCAATGCTAGTTCTTCGGTGTTTTGTTGTTTTATTATTTGATTACTCTATTATTTTTTATTACAGTAACCTTTTCAGGATATGTATACCTTGTTAAAAATTCTCTCATTCTTCTTTTGGATTTTGCTACAGGAATTAAAGGCAAAATCGTTTAATGCAAGGAAACGATTCCAGTTAGCTATTATTTGCGTTCGTGCAGTTGTTCGTATCAAACGGCTTCATACAACACCCGAACCTCTTTCAACGCAGGTGGCATGCACTGATCCTTATAGGATCAAAGTTTTACGAAAGGTATTACTTTTTAAATTTATTACAAATACCGGGTATGCAAAGAAACATCTTAATTTACATGATTCTCGTTAAAAACTTATTTTACAGGAATTATTCAATTTTTATAAAAAATGTTTAATGATCTCTCACCGCGAAATGCATCTTTTTTCTCGGCTGTCTTTCCAGAAGATTGGGTCGAGCTTTTTTCACGACAGATTTACTTTCTTAGAGAAGAATAATTCCATTAACGTGCACTCGGTCATCCCTAACTCATAAGGGATAACCATGTTTCCACGCTGTGAATTTCTACCATGAAATGCATCATTTTATATAATTCTTTTTCTTATAGGTCATCGATGGTTGTGCATTCAGAGTTTATGGTCATTGGGTGAAGAAAGGAGAAGGACAAAACCGAGCTGCTCTATTTGAAAACACACCAAAGACAGAATTAAAGCACCTTTATGTTACTAATTTGAGCAGATAACCAATGCTTTTACAAAGCATTGCCTAGTTAAAATTGTTAATTTTGTTGTTAGTCGACATTTACAGTATCTAAGCGAAATATTCAGTAAGACAAAAAGTGAAAAAATAAATAAGTTATTTAACAGAGTGGTATATTCGTACTGCTTTTTTTGGTTCTATTTATGAAACAAGTAATTCTTTAAACGTGTTATGGTAACTATACAATGTTCATAAACATTGTACATTGAACGTGCAATATCGTGAGGTAAACATAGAAAAATATTTATTATCTTTAGATATTGCAAGACGTACAACATTAATTGGATTGTTCTATCTCCAAATTTTTATGCGGGAGAATAGATGCATACTTCAGGCTTTTCTTAGGAGCTTTTTATATGGCCGATATATTCGTTGAAAATACAGTGCTGCTCAATAAATTTAGTTCATGAAGCTTTTGAAAAAAGTGTTACAAAATGTCGAATGTTTTGGCAGCGGATAACGCTGCAAGCAATTAGTGTCACACTTTTAGAGTGTTTTGTGCGTAGATCAAGTATTATATTGAAAATTGTTTGTGAAATTATTTTTTGAATGTTTTATTGTAAATTAATAATAATTTTTGCTTTACAGTATTTTTCGATTTTTTCATAGCACAATGTAAATGTGAAAGAATTTATTGTGAACGTTACAAATAAGTTTGAAAATCGACTTCCAAAAGTGCTGAAAAAGGAAACAAGACTTTTAAAGTAATTATATTTTGAAGATCAATGAAGGTGCTTATAGGTACAAATGTAAAAAAATCGCTATTTCGTTCCATGACCACACTTCTTATGTTTGTACATATACAGCTATAAAATATGTTCAGTAATTATGTATATCGAACACACATAATTTATTACAAATCAGCAACACATGCAAAATAATAATTGTAATGATACTTTTACTGTGGGGTATATCTGATAACGTACAAGGCTAGGATTAACTGTAAATAAAAGAATTAAACTGCAATGCTTTTAGTATCAGTTTCTGAAAGATTATGTCGACGAAACAATTTCACTTGTACAACGATTATCTAAATTATATGCCTGCAGTAAAAGGTGCAGAAACATGGATCAAATTTTCTAAGTAAATTGCGCGTAATCCGACTTGATTGAAATTTGTACTGACAAAATTGTATTTCATAGTAATATTATTTACTAAGATCTGCATGTAGATTATAGTATACAATGTTTTGTGCAAATTCTAGTCATGTTTTGTACTGCTGGATTTGTTTTAGATTATAAATTGTATAATATACGGATAATTTTGCTTAAAAAAAAACATAAAATAAATCTTATATAATTCGTAATACGATGAAAAAATTGTAACAAATTGAATTCGATATTAGCACACGATAAACGATAAGAGGTTACAAAGAATAACTGAATAAAAATCAATCTGTAAAATAATGTTTATACATGTATCTAGTGTGATATATATTTAGTGTAAAATGTATATTTTGAAGTAAAATATTTTTTCAAATGTAGAATAAGTCATCTTTTTACTCCTCGCATTCTACGAATATTTTTTACTTTGAATCCTACCCTCGACCATGAAAAATCTCTACTGTTCAATTTCACCGCAGTTAGTGTTTTATAAAAATTGATACTTTTATTTCGTAAGAAATTCGTTTGGTTTAAGATAACGGTAGAAAATTAGAATATCGGCCAAGACGGTAATTATAAGTAAAATGTGTTACTACTCTTGTAGGAGATTCGATACGGGGAACTATAAAATTTGTACCGATTATTTTATTCGCATGTAAGAATGTCAAAGCACCGTATCAAGTTTACATAAATGCTCGACTATCAATTCGCGGTGGACACTTTCCGTTGTTATACGATAATTGTGGGAACGAGGAGAGGGAAACGGTTGAAACGTTAATGGAAAAATTTGAATGACTCGAAAAGAATTTAATGGAACGAGCGTTCAAAAAAATGACGGTAGGTGGTTTTGGCGCGCGCGCAAAGGTAAACAATGAAGTTATGTTTCTATAGGTAGAAGTGGCAACAGCGTACAGCTACGATCCATGTGACAGAGAAGGAACGTGACAAAAGGTGGCAGAGGGTGACGCCGCCGAGATCGGAGTGAGTGTTTGCCCGGGCGAGCCGGGTGTCGGGTGTGCTGTGTACGATTATCGCGATATTCGTCCGTTCTGGCGTCTACCGGAAGGTAAGCCTGCCCGCAAAAGATATCGATCGGCTCCGAAATCTCGGTGGTCTGGGTTTCTCGCGATGATACCGAAGGGGATCCGAGAAAATCGCGAAAAAAGTGCACCGACTAACGAGCAATATACAGCAGCTCGACACTTCTCTTACACGCCCAGCGGAGTGCTGCGTCACATGGACCGCGCTCATTGGTCGATACAGCCAGGTGACGTCACGAACTGTTGTTTGATTGGTCTGTACCTCGGATCCCAGACACGTGAATCGTGGCCAAGCAAGCATGGCTGTTGATGCGCAGTGGTTAGCACTTGTAAAATGTTTCTGCCACGCGCTAGATCGATCAGGTTATAACCGTCGTATGCTGTGAAACATCGCGAGATCGTCCGCTGTTCGAAAACTCACGGACGCCCTGTGAATTCCGCATGTGTCGGACATTTGACAGCGTAAATACCGCAAAAAGCCTCGCGAGAAATTGATTTCCACCGTGAAAGTGGGTTCCAGCGTGTTTCCATTGTGACCGAAATACAGTTGCGGTGTCGCCGTAAGTCCCCGGCTGGTTTCTATGGGTTTTCCGCGTTACCACACCCGTCGAAACGTCTTCGCGGAGCATTATCTCGACAGGACTATCGCCTATTTAATTAACATGTGTATAGGTGGTTGCGTGGCGTGTTTTCCGTGCCATAATAGACCCAGCCAATCGCACGGTACTTCAACTTATGACGTCACGTTATCGGCAACTCCTATTGGTCAACGGTGCGTGCGTCGCCCGTCTAACGTGTGTGTCGCTTTGTCAGTTTAAGGAGCTCGTTCGGTGCACGGCACGCTTCTTGACTTTTCATACTCTTCCAAACAGCCTTTCCTTTACCGAGTGACGGCACCGGTCATCGATTTTTCTCATTTCCCATGCGATCCCGCCTCCCACGAACGCGATATCGCATCCGTTCGCGATCGCGGTCCGCTCTCGCGATTATACCGCTCGGGATATATATCTGTTTTTCAAATCGACCACGAAACCCCGTTTCTCCGTTTCTCCGTTTCTCCGTTTCTCCGTTTCGGCTTTCCCGCCTCTGTCGAGCGAGCCCGGTTTCTTTGCTGATTTCTCGGATTGCGCAGCCCCCGATATCCTATACAGCGGTCTGTGCATGCTCGTGTATTCGCGAACACGCTCTTGCGCGTACGAACGCCACGTAACGACTCTCGTGCCTGGTTTCGATGGTACATCGCGAGACGAAACTAATCCGACTTACGACGGTAATCGCTCGAACACCACGATGTCTCGTCAACCAAGTACGTACATCTAATTTTCCCTCGATTCGAAATCGCCGTTTCCATCGATTCGATCTTTCCAAGTTCAGGAATACCGTAAACACAGAACCGTTTGAACCGGTTCAAACTTTTCCCCTATCTCGATTTCATCGTTCGCCGAATTTTGTTTGCCACTCGGTTGAATTTCAAGTTCCAACGGATATCCGAAATACAACCGATTTCAATTCGAACAACGGAATTAGTTTCCTCGGCGATGCGAACATTCGAACAAATCTTTTCGTTCCACCGACTCTCCCGAATACATTGTTCCCGGTTTATCGCGGCGCACATTGCGTATCAAACTTTATCCCGTTTTTATCGAAATTTCGATAAGACAACAAAACGGTTTTCCTTAGGAGTACCTGTCGTTTGAAATCGTCCGCGGCATATAGACCTCTGTACGCCGTAAACAATAGCCGTTGCCCACTCCATTCGAGTTTTATTTTCTTTCCCGACTGTTAGATCGTTTCCAGCGATCGGAACTCAAGATGCGTGCTAATGCTGTGCGCTCCAGGAAAGCGCACGTCGCGCTTGCGCATCAACCCGGTCTGGTATTACGAACACGGAACGTGTGGATCGGTCGGTCCGGCGAGGGGTGGGGCGGGAGGGGGAGGGGATGAAGCTTCCCGCGCGACTGCGTTACGTCACGCGTACGTCACGTGACGTATATTCAGAGACACACCGGTGGTGTCTGTACGGGTCTGCAGCTCCGTTCAAACGGGCTAATAATATTATCGAATAACAGAGATTTTTCGAAAAAATATGAACAGACCGATCGCCGGATCGGCGCGTTGCCTCGAAAGATTCTCGGAGTGCGTGCGTTCCATGGAAATCAGATGAGGTGTGTGACATGTGCGATTTCTCCAACGGTGTACGATAAAAGGGTTCACGGTTCCCGTGACGTCGAATCAGTGTCGAATTCTCTGCTCACGGTTGATCGGAGTGTATGTGTGTGTGTGCATGTGTGCGTGCGTGTGTCTGTGTGTGTGTGGTACCCGTTCGTTCGTTCGTCCGTCCCCCTTCCCGACCCATCGCACCAGTGTATCGAGTGGTCTTCCCCGCACGATGGAAACACGAGTGAGAGAATCGAATACGCGATTATTTACGTTATTACGACCTTTCTTCTCGCGTTCGTCAAGGTCGACGAATTAAGAACCGACGGGATTACCGCTTCTCCCACTCCTCCCCCCGCCCTCGCCCACCTTCCCCGCCCATCACTCCGCCTCGAACTGACAATGACACCGCGGACCGCCGTAGTTTTCGTGTAAACGAGATCATTTCGTTTCTCCTTTATTTCTTTATTTCTTTATTTCTTTGTATCTTTGTATCATTATATCGTTACATCTCTCTCTCTTTTTCTCTCTCTCTCTCTCGTTCTTTCTTTCTTTCCTTTCTTTTTTTCTGTTTGTTCGTGCGCAGATTGCCACCGGCGGCTGGCAGCAGCAGAAAAAGAGGAGGGTTGAGACGCAAGAACGGGCTCTCGACTTCTTCGTCCTCGCGAGTCGGTGACGGGGATCGGCAGTCCGATCGCAGAGTCTCAATCTCCCGAAGGATCTTAAAGGGAAACAGTCGTGGAGCAGCGGCCCGGCAACGTCAGGATGAGCCTGGAAACGCTGCTGGAAGCGGCACGGTTCGTCGAGCAGCAGGAGAAGAAGAGGGAACGCCTGGCCAGCAGCTCGTCCTCCTCCTCCGATCATCCGCTCGTCGTTGCCCCCCACTCCAACCATCACAACTCGAACGAGCCACGTGGTGAGTACCACGCGCCACTTTTCGGTCACCCGTTCGCGTCCGCGATATATGTTTCAGCACGTAGAATAGCTTAATGCACCGGATTGCCATGTTCCGAATCTTCCACTAACCAGCGCGCGCGCTCGGCACGGCGGTGACTTTCGAAACACTTGTTAGCTGACGCGCTCGTTTCGTTTCAAATGTTTATTAACGCATTTCTTTATCGGTGCAACTCATTTTATTCTTCCAAGTCTCTTTTTCTATTTTTCTTTTTTTTTCTTTTTGGCCATTCAATGTCTACTACCGAGTGTCTTTGTTATTGCTAGAAAGCAATAGACGAGTTGTACCGAGTAAATCAAATTAAAAGAAAGAATAAATTGTTCGCGTCATTTCGCAACGATTATTATAATTAGTGTATTGATACAGTATCTGGCTTAATCGAGAAAGTTATCCGTTTGTTAGCCGATTGCGTTTCGCAGTATCAATTGATAAGTTCGAAGCAGACGCCTTCTGCGTGCACCTCGTCGAAATATCGGTTGGACCGTAGAAACAATTTCGCACAGCTCGAGAGGCGAAATTACGGAGACCGTAAATATCGTCGTGAAATATTTCTCATTAAAGAGACACGCGCTTCGGTGGCGAGAATCGGAAGAATTCGATTATTCCCCGCGGAATTGAGAAGCACTGCAATGTACATGTGAACAGCACGCGATGACCCACGCGTTCACCGCCTCCAAATTAGGTATGATTTCCCTCGCGGCAGTGACTCTCAAACGCGCGCGGCGATCGTTTACGGGACGAATCGCGAAAAGTTCCGCAACGGTAGCGTTCGAAAGTGCACGCGTAGACGTTCCCCCGGCGATCCATCAACTTGACCCAGTTATCGCGCTGAAAAATCGCGCCCATTGTTTTCTCGAAATCATCGCCGGCGGGGCTCGCGATTCAATTTCCAAGTTGACCACGCGCCGGGTCATTTAATCGCGCCCTTTTGACTCGCCGCGTTTTCTCAGGTCAACGACACAACCGGCCGATCTCGCGAAGCCAGTTGGAAACGCTCGCGAAAGAGTTTCTCGGGCACGAAACGTGGTGACCGGCACGCCACCGCTCCATCGGTCTCTCTCTCTCGTTCTAGGCCTGCGTCGACTTCGCTAGCCGAACGATCGGCACGATAACCTTCTCGAAAAAAAGAAAGAACCCGTGGAACGACCCGGCTCCGGTGATTGCCAGTTGTACGATCATTGTCGAGGTGAACCGGTAACGGCTAGCGCGATACCGCGACAAAGATCTCCGCGTCTTTTCATAGATGTTCTCGCGTGTACTGAACATTCGCGACGCGAAACGACTGGAGTAACGAGACGGAAAAGAAACTGGCAAAAGTAAATTACACGCAGATACGACAACGCAGAGGGTCTGTAATAGAGAAGCTTCAACCGACAGCGTGAAACATATTCAAGTCTGATCCCGAGCGGATTCAAAGTCGCCTGTCCACCGAGATCAGACATCGTCGGTTGATACCGTTAAAAACTGGGATAGGGGGCAGTGAATCCGTAATATCGAGGCGTGAAAGTGTATCTCGATCGACGAGACAAGTGAAGTGTTTACGAGTCTGATGGAGATGGAAGGTTGAAAAGTCAAGAGAAGGTAAAACGGTAGGGGCGTGTGGGGGGACGAGAAAGCAAGCACGATTTAGAGGACCATATGCATCCTGACGCTCCACCCCCTCCACCTCCTCCTCCACGATCCCCTCCAGCGTGTCGCTCACCCGACGATATAACCTGAAACGAGTCTTCTAGCCAACGTGCGCGTACAGAGACGTGACTAGGAACGTATAAAGGCAAAGGAGACATCGAAGGGCGGCGGAAGTCGGGTGGGAGTACCGAGGAAGAAGGGTACCAGCGTCGGCCGATCGGCTAGCGGAGGAATGAGAGGAAATGAAGTGGCAGGGTAACCGGTGAGATGGCAGGGCTGGAGGGAGTAGGGTAGGCAGAGATCGCGATGATTAGAAGAGAGGAGTGGGCGGGGAGGGTACGCGATACCGCTTTTTGGAGGGGTAACGCTGGTGACCGTGGTGCTACGGTTGACGATGGTAGGAACGAACCTGGATACCGAGAGGCCGGCAAGTGGGGGAAACCGTGGTACCCCGGTCACTGACTCTAGAAACTACGGGCAGCTTTTGTGCTTCATTCACGAGCGCGCCACCTACTCGCACACGAGCATTATGCTC